GCCACCGCCCGCCCCCAACGGCCCCGCAACCGCCACAGGGACACACGGGGCGGCAGCCTGCGCTCTGCACGACCGGCGGCGACGGGCCAGGCCTGCCGCCGCGGCGCCTTTATTGCCGTGCCCAGCGCGGGGCAGTTACAGTCCCACGGGAGCGCGGCCCTTTCCCCCTCCCTCCGCTGGCTGCCCGCGGCCGCTCGTGGCGGGGGCGGCAGCAGAGGCGGGCGCGCTCCGCTCCGCTCCACTCCGTTGCTCCCGGCCGCCGCGCTCAGGCGATGAGCTCCGTGTGGTGGCGGGCCAGCGCCGGCGGCAGCGTGGTCCCGCACGGGCCCGCGAAGTGGAACCTGGAAGGAAGCAGCCTCGTGAGGGCGCAGGTAACCGGCACACAGAGCGCTCGGGTTTTAAGTCATAGCCCTGAAAAGGCTTTTAGCCACTCTAGGAGACAGGGACAGTTTGGTGGCACGTAGGTAGGAGGGTGAAAACCCTGCTAAAGAGCCGTGTCTCTGGTTGAAAACCTTTGCTGTGAAATAGTAAATTGGATTTCAGTCCTCTACACTTGAACATCATGCTTAAAAAGTATAGGTGTAGCTTCAGTGTAAGTTAATAAATAATACTTATTAGCTAAAATACTATTTCCTAAGTGGTGGGGGAAGAAAGATCATGTTTGTTTTTTAAAAAAGTTCTAGGCATTTTAACAGTTCAATACAGGGTGACATTGAAGGGGAATGGGAAAACTAAAGGCCGTTAATTTAAAACTGCACAATGTTACCTGAATCTGTCTGTCGCGGGAGTAGCTTCCATATTAAATTCTGCAACTGGGACTCCTCTGCTGGATACCTGAGGGGCAAACATAGCGGCAGGATACACCACGGAGGAGGTTCCAACCTACATGGATGGGGGAAAAAAATCGTGAGCACAGCAGGCTGCTAGTTAAACCACAGAAATCTCCCCTCGCCAAGCCTGCCCAGTGCATCGCACCTGCGAAGCAACTACAGCACTGAACATGCACAAAGAACCCCAACAAGGTCAATGTATGTTTGGCATATGTGGCCGTATCAAATAATGTGGGAATCAGGAATTAGCGCTCTCTCAAATATAGTCTAAAAAGGCGTCTTCGGCTGTAAGTGGAAAGGAAGTTAAAAGAATCCCTGAAATGCACAGGGACCGACTTCACTTTTGGCAGCGTTTCAGACATCCTTCTGTTATTTGGGATTATTTTGTGACGGGTGCATAATAAATAAATTGTCACTCACTACCACGCAGAGGTCACACATGTCGAGCTCTTTCTCCACCTCGGCGAGAACTTCAGCATCCAGGGCTTCTCCAAACCACACAACATGGGGGCGGAGGAGGCCGTTGCAGCCATCTTCCTCGCACCTATTTAAAAAAAAAAAAAAACAAAACAGAGGTACAACGTTCTGCTTAGGACATGAATATTTTGGCTGCAAGAAGGCAGTTTTCCTCTTACCTTGGACATGTCTCAGCTCTCTTCACTCTTCCACCGCGCTTTCCACTGCCCCCTGTGTTCCCTAAGCTACTTGCTAGACAAAAGATAGCCATGGCAGAGCTGTTTTTGCACACGGCTGTACCTGTGTCCTCCTTTACCTGCTCCCAAGTTTCATGAAACTCATAGGAGCTGACTGCACTACACATCCCTGCCTCTGTTAGCTAGAAGAGTGGCCAGTGGGTTTTTAAGGAGAAAGGGAACTGACAGACGCATCACATTAGACCCATTTCCTTAGGAACCAGATGAAAAACTAGAGCTTCTTGATACAATAAAGCTTCTACCCTTCTAGAACAAGCGACAGGGCTTTTTTAAAGCCTGCAAGGGGTATTTGGCAGAAATAGCTGAACAGAGCATCACACGCTAGGTAACCAGAGGAAAACACTACCTGAGAAAAAGCAGCAGCAAACTGTGCAGCATGTAGCTCTTAATGCAGTTGTCTTCCTACCCCACATACAATTAAATCTGTTAGTTTACGCATTTTTAACTTGATTCTGGAGTATACAAAATGCCTTTTAGATCAGGTTCAGGCATTCAGTGGTTGGGACAAAGTCCCACACCTTACCCCTCTGGGGAACATGCCCTTCCACAACCATGGGAACAGTAATATAAGCCTTTGATGTGCACAAACTACAAAGAGATAATAGCAAACAATAAAGAGGACGATACCTACCGAGGAAGTTCTTCAACTGGAATTGCAGCATCTTCGATTTCAGGATCAGGAGCCCTAAAGTTACAAAATTGGAGTACGGATTCAGTCATGCAAAGAGCACTTGGTGTACTAATAAAAACTTAGCATTCTCTGAAGCACGCTTCCATCAAGTTAACGTCCAGTACCAGAACTCCAGACAATCTGATATTGTTTTAATAATATTGTGCTTATATTGGGATTATCATCGTGTTACTCATTCACCAGACCTGTCTTATGATATTCTGAGTTCTGATTGAAGCTACTAAACAGTTTACCTACATTTCAAAATACTCATGTAAATTTTAAAGCATGAGTACTAGTACAGGGAAAAAAAAAAGTGATTGGCTAAAATTCCAATACACTTCCAAAAGGACTCCTTTAGCACAGAGGATCAGACAGAATAGGAAATACAGATTTTGCAAGGCACATATTACCCTTTTCCAGCCAGTGCTGGGCATATGGGGCTCCTGTAATCCGCAGCCACGTTTCCACAGTTGGTGCATCGAGTTTTAAATAAACTACCTGAAATGCACAAATTTAAAGCGTCAGCTCTTAGGAATGAAGCACTTTCTCTGAAGCACAGCTCATGGTGCCACTAGGTCTTGTTTTAAGCCTGTTTTTTTCCTGCCAGTCCTGTTCCCTTCCCTCCCTCCCAGTCAGGCGGCACTGCCCTCTCCCAGGCCGGTTCTCACCATGGATTTCCAGCAGGTGCTTCGTGCCAGCCTTCCTGTGCAGCTCGTCGATGTTCTGTGTGATAACCACGACGCTCCTGCCCTGCTTGCTCAGCCGCCGCTCGCACTCGGCGATGGCCACGTGCGCGGGGTTGGGCTGCTTGCTCAGCATCACTTCCCGGCGGTAGTGGTAGAATTCCCACACGCGAGAGGGGTTTCGGGCAAAAGCCTCAGGGGTGGCCAGTTCCTGAAAAAGACACAACAAAAACATGAGGAAATCTCCCCTCCTCCCCATGATCAAGCCTGATACCGTATTGCCATTCACACCATTGCCTGGATAACAAGTCATCAAAAGCAGATTATTCCAACTATAAGTAGCTGACAAAATGTGGATGGCGAGCTCCTGCCTTATAAAGATGCCAAGTCCAACTGCCTTATTGACCAAGGAAGCAACCTGTGTCAATAAGGTGATACCAAACTTTTCAAGTGCAGCACATCACAAGGGAAGATGAAGGATTTCAGCACACGGCGTTATGGACATTGAAAAAGCCCTCGTTCCCACAGCAGCCGCAGAACTCAGCGGGGGGGAGACCCACACCTATCGAGGGTGCTTCATGCCTTGAGGCGGCCGGGTTATCCCAGCCCCTGGAGCTGCGTGCTTGTCGGATGCACAGGGGGTGTGCGGAGCTGCGCCGCGGGCACCTACCTGCGCTTGCCACTTCCTCCAGAGGCCCCCGGCACCCCGGAACGTGGGGACGCCGCTCTCGGCACTAACGCCCGCTCCTGTAATGATGGCGATGTGCTTCGCTCTGGCAAAGGCCTCTCGAAAATCCGCCATGTCTAAGCACAGGGGAGGAAAGGAAACAGCTGCTCAAACACGTGCCCTTTTGGGCAAGAGGCCGTTCAGCAGCGTATGCGCTCCGAAACGGCCGCCACCTGCGTACACCTTCCATGGCCTTAAGGTCAGAATACTATTTTTTTCTGAACTTCTGCGTGCTGGAATTAGAAGGGTGCTTCTTTGAGATGCTCAGGAATACTTACAAGCAAACCCATAGGGCAGTATGAATTGAACTCTGAATTTATTTCATGTTTGAAAGACAGAAATCTCAAACCCTGTGCTAGATGGTGCAGTACACCGGCCACAGCCACCCAACAACAGCTTGCTTCCCAACTGTAAGGTGAGATCCTGCGATAAAAGAAATTTTCAGTCTTTATAAACACTTGGTTACAAAGTATCATCCTGAGAATTTTGGTCATTTGGGAAAAGATGACATGGTGTCTTTCCCACTTTGTAGAGCTGAAATTGTATTTTCTATTCTTGGTATACATTCCCTATGGTTTTCCCAGTCTGGTAAATCAACATGAGGATAGAAATTTCTTCCCCATTCACGGGGGGGTCTAAGCACACAAAAAGCATCAAATAAGAGACAACCAGTCCCCCTTCAGTCTGTCTCGGATGTGATCTGTAAAGCAACGTATGTTAGATTCTCAGGATCCCGGAGCAGGCGGTGTTGGCCTCGGGATGGCCGAGTTGAGGTGAGGGCAGGTAGCTCCTGCCCACAGCACACTCACCAGGAAAGCGCAGCCAGGGTCAGGGCCATGGCCAGATGTGTTTTAAGTATCCCCAAGGATGGAGTCTCTGCCACTCTCCTGGGCAGCCTGCTCCCACCCTCAGGCTATGTGCCCATTTGGATATCAAGTTAAGGCCTATTTTTAATTAATGGACCATGAAGCTAAGGCCCACTTTTATGTTAACAAATAACAAAAAAAACCATTAATTGCTACTAGACTGTAACAAAGCTTGTAGTTACCCAACGCCCTGCTGCTGAGCTGTCAGAAATGCTTGAGGCCCTCCCTAATTCTTGCACAAATGTGGGAGTGGATTTTAATATCCCTTAGGAATATGAATATGAAAAGGAAGTGCAATTAACTTGTATACATTTATATGCATAAATATGAATACCATAAACATCAGTAGGCAGCCACTTTTACTACAGCTACGTGAGGGATTTTGGAACCAAACAGTTTATCAGAATGGAAAATAAATTTTATCATGGAAAATATGGAAAAACTGGAAAAAAATCAACTTAATGCTTTTTTAAGCTTTAAAACAGTCTACATTTTTTAATTAAACCACAGATGTTATCTATCACAGATAGCTGTGGAGCCTCAAACCTGATTTAGCACCTGCTTAGTATCCTGAAAGACAAATAAACGTCTTACTTGAGCTGGGACGAGCCATTTGGAGGCAGAAGCGCTGCTGCTTTGAAGGACGGGGCTTGAGCGCGCAGTGTGCCTGGGAGAGCAGCCTTCTCGTGGGGAGCTGGAGGAGACTCATGGGCCCCGCTTGCGCGCGCGCCCCTGGGAAGCAGGGCAGTGCAGAGGCGAGCGAGGCGGTCAGCAAGGGCTGCTGCGTGGCCTGTCCGCGCCGAGAGCGCCCGCGCGCTGCGTGGCCCTTCCCCGCTCTTCTCTCGGCCGAGCGAGGCCCCGCGTACGAGAAGCGCTTGTGCCCACGGGGGTTCGGAGCTGCGGGGCAACCGCACGGTGCCCTCGGCTCTTCCCTCCGTGCTGCAAAACGTGGATGTCTCAACTGCGAGACCCGGGAATGCAGCGGGCGCTTTGGCTTTGACCAGCTGAGAGGGAGCAGAGCAAAGTAGTTCTGCTCAAAGGCTGCTGAGCCCTTAAATACGTCATTTAGAAATATAAATAAACACCGCATAAAATGCAAAAATAAATACAGCAGGAATGCAGCACTCCTTAACTGCAGCATAAAAACACAGTGCTGCAATTCTTGTGCACTAAATTTTTATGATGCTTTTAAATTTTACAGAGAGAGTAACTTGCAAGGTGCAACTAATTCCACTTCAAAGCAAAAGCAGCCAAATATCCACGCGCACCAAAGGGCTTGGAAGGGCCGGAGCGGCCGCTGGCGGCGCCCGGCAGCTCGAGCGAAGGGCGCCCGCGCTGCGGCCGCGGGGAGACGCGTCCGCGCCGGCCCTGCCTGCCCGGGCCCTCGGAAGCCGCGCGGGCAGAAACCCGGCGCGGCCGCGGGGAACCCTCGGGAGCCCTTCCCGCCCCGGAGCGCCCCGCGCGGCCACCGGCACC